CAACAAGCTGAAAGACATTTTAGCCAATACAGCAAAAGCAGCAGCAGCAGCAAGATGGAAAAACACTCTGCAACAAGTGGTTTTTTTTGCTGTGTTTTTGGTTTGGATATAATTATCTGTGAAACTCCAAAAGGTATAAGGAAGAGTCTTCACTTAATTTTGATATCTGTCAGAAAATTTGACTAATAATCATACATCCATTGCTGGAGGTGGAATTTTTGAGTACTATGAGTGCTTTAATATAGTTTTTTTCTTTTACAAATATCAGTGAACTTCCCTAGATTATTTAAATATAAGATTTTATTGTTAAAATTTTGAACTCTAAATGAAAATGCATTTCTAATTTTTTTTTAAATATATGGCTATAGCATAAGAAATATGCCTTTAGATTTGCTTTAAAAGCACAGTTACTGCTCTGTTAGAAACATTTGTATAGTATTTCTATCCAGATACATTTTGTCCCATTCTTCTACCCAGGCAGATTGAGCTCTAGCTGATGTCTTGCTGCTTGGTGTTTGAGAATGGAATTACTGCTGCTCTCTTCCTATAGCTCTAAATTAAAAATCTGGATAACGGAGTGGTTGTTGTCAAGTTCTAAAGCATCTATTAAATCCATAAAAAGGAAAACAGGCTGTGATCTCCTCCCACCCTTTGAGCACTGAGTGTTTGTGATTTCTTTTTAGACGCTTGTTCCCACTACCAAAGTCGGATAGCTATATATTTGTTATCTATTTTTTACCTCTGTTGATGTTGAAATGAATGAATAAAAATGTTGACCTTAGTATAATAGAATTTTGATATATTCTTTTCTGTTCTTGGAATAGACTTCAGGACTCTGTTCTGCTTTTTATCAGCTTTTGAATATTGTCCATATCCTCAACATTTTTTTCCTTGTTTATGCTATTTTAGTCTTTTCCAAAAAGGACGTATTTCCAGAAAATAAATAAAAGTGCTCCTGCACCATATTAGCTTTTCACACTAAAACCTGAGTTCTGTAGAAAGAGCTCTTGCTGATGTCATTTATAATTTTGGTAAGCAGAGGATATTAAATTGTTTATAATCTATAAAATATTTATATTGTTTATAATCTCAGTAGGAACAAAATAGACAAGGTGTGCTATCAGTTTATTATAAATTAATTACTTCTACATAAGAAAAGATAGTTTGATAAGGAAAATTAGATAGAAAAGAGTAAGGTTGGAACTGGGATGAATCAAGACGCAAAGGGTTGAAGGGGGCACAAGATCTGTGAGTATTTTTTGGTAGGAGAAACTGGTGACAAAAGATCAGATTTGTCCAATGCCTGGGTAACAGGTAGAGTTTTTACATTGCACTTATTTTTAACTCTTTAGAAGCACTGGTGCAAATAATGCATTTTTAAGATATGATTAATTTTATCTATATGTAGACATTTGTTTTTCTCTAGCTATGAAACAGGTGAGCTGAATCCTGCTTGACCACTGTTTCAGTGCTGGTTAAAGCTGAAGAAAGTAAGCCACTCCTCTCAGCTGGTCTAAAATAGTTGCGAATTTTCATGCTGATGGTCATGTTTGGACTTGACTGGACCCATTCATTGGAGGTTTGCCATGGTGCTACTGACTTCAGGCATATGTGTTTAAACATTCTGTTGGACAGTGGAAGGTGGTTGTTTCTAAAGTGTTGGGGTTTTTCTTCCATTTAAAATTACACTGATGAATTTCCTTGGGTTATTTCTGTCATAGAAAAAGATAGAATTTGGTTTTCTAGTTGAGTTTTCTTTCAGCTCATACCTTTTTAGGAAAGAAATGTTGCATGTGACTCTGAAAAGCATCATATTACTAGCTTTTAAAAAAACACTATTTTACAACCTCTGCCATAGTGGCAACTGATGACTATATGACTGGATTTGGTAAGAGTCCTCCTTTGATGCAGTTTGGACCATGCATGTGATACCGAAGCGCTTTATCCTAGAGTACCTCTTATCAGTAGCCTGTGATCTGAATGGAACATCACAGAAGCCTTTTTGGCAAGATCACTGACTAGAAGGGGTAAGGTCTTTCCAATTGCCTTAGACAAACGGTATTGCTTTCTTTAATGTATCAAGTTAATTATTGAATTCAACCATTTTTTTTCTTCTCTTTCGGAATTAAAAAGAACAAAAGTTCTTTTGCGGCTATAAAAATCATCATAAGAGATGTCCATGTAATTCCATATTAAAAAAAACTTTTGTGGTTCTTCTGGCTGTTAGGAGCTGCAAAGTGGATAACAGCTTCCAACCTAATTTTATTTCTATAAATATTTTTTCTAGTGCAATATCAGATATTTTAAAGTTCATTCAAGTTCAACTGATCTCCTGAGTAATATGAATCTATGAAAGAGTAATATCAGAGCAATCTGTAATAGGGTGTCATCTTTGTAAAATAAAACCCCGAACACCCCAGGTGCTTTTTTACCACGTTTTCCTTTCATCATCATGCTTTTAGTTAATCTTTTTGAACCTCACTAGAAACGCTTCTAATAACTAAATTCAGCATTTTCTATATATCTATATGAATATATATACACACAAATATATATGACTAATGGCACAACACTAATATGACACAACACAGGTTATGTTCTAGTGTGAAATGGCATAAGGTGTGGCAGGGCATTTCAGTACTAACCCACACACATTGAATCAGCATTTTATGTCTTGGCCTGTTGATGAAAATTCTAGTTGCAGTATAAGTAAACTTATCCTTGCTCCAGTTAGTACTCTATATCTGATAGGAGACTGGAACTCTTTCCTGGAAAAGAAGGAATATGGGGAGAAGATGTGATTAAATTGACTTTATTTCTACTAGCAAATATCTTTAGTTGGCATTGGGCAATAGAGGCAAAAAAATAAACATAGAAAATATTTTTGTGAAAGGTTTGTTGCTTCTTCCCATTGAAAATCTATGAATTTATAATTGAGTTACATGCAGAGCAAAGCATTTAAATTAAGGGCATACTTATGTTAATTAACTGTGCTAGTGCCCATTACTAGTTGTATAATAATATTTTTTCTTTCACCATACATGTGGGTATATATATTAAATGTGTGGAAATTATAAGTTTATTGCTTATTTACAAGTAAGCTTAACAGATCTGTAGACAGAAATAACTGAACCTGGTTTTCATTGGGAATTTTAATCAATCCCTTCACCTGCTCATTTGTCTTAAAGTTCTAGGTTTAGTTCTCATTTAATGTAATACTTTTCTCATTTAAGAATATGATTTTGGAAAATATAAGTTTAGGATTGAGGAAAACAGATCAGTCTGGCAAGAATCATCAGGAGACTTGGCTGCAGTTCCTGTATGCATCTCTGAAACAGAACTCTTCTTCAACATTTCTTTCCCTTTACCTCTTGACAACTTGCAGTGGATTTTTTTTCCCTCCCTCTGAACTTTTCATTCTTTTGTTGTTAGATTGAACTGTGGGGTTTGGAAAAGTGGTACAATAGATTTTTTTTCTGTTTTTAAACTTTCATTTCCAAGATCTGGATGGATCTTGACTTGTCTACAGAGAGACTGGACATGGTGATTTTTCTTTTGGCCAAGTGTGTACACTGTGCTTAAATTTCTTCAAAGCATAAGTTTTTCTGTTTAATGAAGCCTGAAAATCTAATGTGAATTGTATAATCTTTAGTCTGTAAAAGTTGAAGTTGAGAATTGTGTGCAAATATTTGTTTTTTTCCTATTTAGAAATACCCAATAACAATCCCCCCTCCAAAGTTTCATGTTCATGTCAGATTTTTCAAGTTATTTAGAAGAGTCTTTTTCAGACATAATAAGCCAAAGCAGTAAGGTCTCTGGCCCAGTTCCCTCCATGTATTTTAAGTGGAAACAATATAAACAAACTATTTTTCCTCTGACTCATTTCCTATTCTTATCTAGTTCTGCCCAATTATTTTGTGTTTTATATGAATGTAGATGTGCAAAGTTTCATTTGATGAAGGTTCACCCAACTGGAGTTCTAAAATTTATCTTCAGAATTTAATGTGTACAAAATACATCTTTATTTGCATTTGCAAGGTATCCTTCTAGGGCAAGCTGGCAGAGGAATATGAAGGAAACCGGTAAGGATGGAGGAAGCTGAAAACTGAGTCATGTCACTCTTGGCTATATGACCTGAAATAACGAAGCCATTGCTTTGGGGTTTTGACAGAACTGTCCTTTGCTGCATCATTAGTGTACTAATGTACATAAATGTATAAAAAATTCTACTGTAGGTGCCAATGACAGCTCAGGATGCTGCATTTCTGCTTTGATGTGAACTACAAACCTCATTTAGAAAAAAAAAAAAACCCAGCTTTTGGGAAGAGATGTGTTATTATATAGGAGAGCTGAGTGGTTCTTGTAATGCTTTATTTTCTTTGCCCAAGACAAAGCAATGGTAAAACATACAAACTATTTTGTTTAGGTGCTGGAAAAAAATTGTTAAGCTTTTAACTCGAGGAGCTTATTTTCTTTTTCACAAAATCTTAATTAAAGTAGTCAGACACATATGCTGAAGAAAGAGATTAATGGAGTGTGCCTTTATAGCTAATAGGGAAGTTCATATGGTCTAATTACTATCTATTTAAATAAAACTGGAAGAAGATTGGGATTTTGAAGTTCTTTTGCAAAGCACAAAAGACTCAGTTCTAATGGGGTATTAAACAGGAATGCATGTTTGAGTGAAGAATTTTGTTTACACTTAACAGTTTGAGCAAAACTATAAATACAGGTTTAAAGAAAGTACTTTTCTTTGAACTTCTAAGGGGACATTAGTTTTGTATTGCAGCTCAGTGTATTGCTAAATGCTGAATTCATTACCTTATCATTTCTTTTGTAGCAAACTATTGTGTTGGACAATATGTCTACGCTGCTGTTTGATTTAAAAGATCAAAGCTGTTGTCTCTGATGAGCAGTGAAGGCTGCCTATGTTCAGCACTAATAGGTGTACTCAAGTGTTGCCAAGATTAATGTGGAGATGACCTTGTGCCTATTTTCAGAATCGCAGGGGGGCGAATTCTGTCAACAGTGAAGATGCATTTGATAAAAGGCCGAAGCAATGGGGATCCTTTCTGTCAGGCAGTAGAGGAAGCTGTACAAGACTTGGATTTGAAGATTAAAAATATTATCGATTCACAACAGGAAATCTTGACTGCTAGCACTACTGGAGTCAGTCCAGCACGGGTAATGGGACTTCTTTTGTTCTTTTGACTGTTTAGCTTTATAAGAAAGCAAAAATCTTTTGCCTGTTTTGTTTATTTTACATTTTTAAAAGACTATCTATAGAGTATCATCTTTCTTAACTGAATTAAAGTAGTAATTTCCTGTACGCTGTGATTTTACACTTGTTGAAAGACTTATACTTGAGGATTATACTGTGAATATCAAATAACTGATTTACATAAACTAAATTTCTTACCTTAAAATTGCAAATAAAATACTCTTCAAGGCTTAATTTGATGGCGCAGTAATTATAAATGTAGATACTTAGTGTCAGATTTGCCATTAATTTCAAAACAGTAAATCTAACAAATTTCCAAACAAAAGAACCTCATGAAAGTAGAATTAAGATTTGGAACATGTACCAGTATTTTTTTATTAAAATACGCAGGTTTTAATTAGTCCAGCATCAAGTATTTCAAAGGATAGAGCCTTCAAAGTAAGGTTAAAGATGTCAGAAATCTAAAGCATGGTAAAATGTGGAATGGGAAGGGAATTAAAGCCCTAAACAAACATGTGTAAGATGTTATCTTTTAACACTAATGAAAGTATTAATTGAAGTAATCAAGATATTTAAAATTCTGTAAATCAGGTGTTGAGGGCATAATACAAGTCTTCTATTTGTGATGCATGTACTGTGAATCTATTCTGGTTTATATTGTAATCTTTTTGTGATGAAAAAATCAACCAACTATTTATTTTATTTTACATCATTGATGTATAAGATATCTAATGAAATTTGTTTTTCTAGCAAATTAAAAATATAGACACCTTCAATGTGTTTAGAATTGTTAGGATGCTTTTTGTGAAGTCATTGGATTTATGCCATGGTAGTAAAAGATTTTTAACAAATTTTAATCAAACCTTCAGTATCCTTTTTCTTTAAGACCGCTAAAACCAGTCAGACCCTATTGGCTAGTTAAGCTAGTTTAAGTCTGTGTGTCCACAGAGTATGTTGGATATATATTTCATCCTCATTTTCCTGTTTGCTATGAATCATGTATTTCCCTGTTTCCTTTCCATATCCTTCTATTTGTTTCTCTTTCCCATCTGAGAAAATTATAACTCACATCAGTTCTGTCTTTATTTAGCTACTTATGTTACCAATAAAACTTAAAAAATTTATGTAGATCATTATAATGACCAGGTAAAAGCTTTTTACTAAAACTTTATTCTTTAGAGAAATTCACCATTTCTTTTCCAAAATTATATTTATTTCTTACTGTTCTCCAGAAGTTCATAGTCTGACTCTGTAGAAATGTTTAACATCATCCTTGTTGAGGCAGAAGATGGTTGTATCCTGATGTGTGGAGGACCTGCAGTGGAGAAGGTCATGAAGGGCCGTATCCCATGGGAGGTGCTCCACACAGAGGAGAAGACAAAGACCATAAGGAAGAACTGGCTGCAATCCTCATTCCCCATCCCCCCTGTGCCATTTGAGGGAAGGAGGTAGAAAAGTTGAGAGTAAAGTTGAGTCCAGGAAGAAGGAAGGGATCCCATTATGAGTAAATGTCAATAAGTTAGATTAATTTCATGAAGTCAAATTTGTTTTGCCTATGATTTGTAAGTGAACAATCTGTCCTCATCTTACTTCCATGAGCTTTTTTCAAGATTTTTTCACTTCCTGCTCTGTTAAGGAGGAAGAATAGAACAGTTTGGCAAGCACCTGGCAGCTAACCAGGGTCAACCAGCACAATCTTATGTGGGCCTTTGAGGAATTAGAGATAAGGACAGTAGTTGAGAGAGGTAATGGGTAAAATGTGTGGGGTAACTTTTTTTTTTTTGTACTTGTGGAGAGATGAGGGTTAGAATGTGTGTAAATTGTTTGCCTTTATCAGTGCTGTGTTTGCTATTTTGGTGTAGAGATTTCTTTTTGTTGATATAAGTGAAATCTGTGGAGATTGTGATGAATTTCTATTTTAACAATTATCCTTAAGCATAGGATTCGGAGAGCTGAGGAGTGGAAAAGGGAGCTTAGACAAATGTTAACATAGTGATATCAAATGATGTTTTAGTGGAACTTAGTGTGGAAGAACATTTTACTAAACATATGGAAGGGTAGATTTCATTTTGTAATGAAAAGAGGATCAAAATTTAACAAGTCCAATAAGTTTTCCAAATTAATTCAAGCTGTATTAGAAATTAGAGCATCTGTATTGTTCTATTAAGATCTCAGGACAGCAAAGATTAATGCTTTATTCTGATTCTTACATAGAGCTTGGGGTTTTTTTGATTTCACGTAGTAAGAAAACCCCTTGATACTATAATTTTTCTGAAAAAAATCTATATTCAGTTTAAATTTGGGTTGATAGGATGTTAGGCTTTTTTTCCTATGCAAGAGATTAAATAGTTTCTTTGAGTGCAGATTAAAATAGGATCTTAAGTATAGAGGTGAAAATTATGCCTCCACTGGCTCAAGGCTGCTTCCTCATAAAATGTACCTAAGAAGTATAACTTCATTAGAAAAATATTTGCATTTCTCCTGGCAGTGGCAGTTTTCTTCCATCATTGCTCAGTTTCCCTGCAAATACCTGTTTTATAAGAATCTAGAGCTCCAGAAGAAGTTACTACTTTATGCAGCAGGAAGCACTATTTTGTGTTGAAGCCTGCATGAGGAGTTATAGGAATTATGATTTATGTCTTCCTAAGAAAATTACTATTGTAGATGGATTCTGGCTGGAACTATTTTATTAAAAAAAATTATTTATTATTAGGCTTATTTATAAGCATGGGCTTCACTTTGTCTTACTGAGATATTTTTGTTGTCTTAGAGTTCCTATTTTGCCTTGGACTTTTGTCCATGGTTAATACAAAGAATAAGCCTCTGGTGTTGTAGTACTTGAGATTTCTGAAAGTTGTTTCTAAAGATTTTTTTGTGTGTGTCATCAGTCAACATGGTGCCAAGTTTGTGCTTCTTTCAATAAGACAAATTCACAATGGCACACATGACTTTTAATAAAAATCTATGTTATGGTGATGTAACTGAAGAGGTTCAGAATAAATTTTGAGGAAGTTAAATGGTACTGAAATAGGCCAGTTCTGTAAAGCCACATAACAACCATTTCTGTAATTGCTATTTCTAGCTATTGATTATAACTTATAGTAGCTGACTGACATGTGTTGCTATGGTTTCTTGAAAGCTACATGCACTAATTGATGTAATCAAATTGAGAGACAAATAGAATTTGATCTTTTCAAGACTGTGTTTAAAAACAGTTAACTGATTAGATAAATGCAGTTCATTGCTTGTCTTGCCCTTCAGAATAAAGTCAGGGTATTCAGTGTTCCTGTGTATTAGTGAATAGGAGAACCTATAGTTTTTAAATAACTACCACTGTGTATTAAGCCCTAAATTTCTCTGTGGAATTCCTAGTGCCTTTGAAGAAAAATATAGCAACTTTCAAGATTTTTTAAGTCCCACAGTGGCTATGGATTTCTTCATCTTTACCGCTTACTGTTATTGAGCACTTCCAGATGTGGATTGGTTTTTTTCTTTAAGGAATTCTTTATTCTTGTGGAAAATCATGGGCAATTCACCCAAACAACAGGAAATGGTGCCACATACATCTGTTGTCATATCTCGATGGAAATCTCACTTTTAACCAACTGCTTTAGCAGATTGGTAGTCAGAGTTGTTGGACTTCACAGAATGTGTTTGTGTACCAGAAAACAGAAAGTTCATTTCTGCTGCACAGTTTCAGCATATATTTATATATTTTTCCCTGTGACTTGCTCATCAGTGTATACACATAGCTGTCAGTGATCTAAACTCCACTAACTACTTGGGATGCGAAAAATTTTCCCATGGAGAAATTCTGCATAAATTCCCCTTACTGCAAAAGGGAATTCTCACACCTTGTGCTGATGTGGATTGATTTTGGAGGCGAGCTATTGGTCTGGCTTGCTGGACTTTGCTGTTTTATCTTTCTTTTTTATTTACCTTCAGCCAAAATTGCATTCTATAAATCATGGCACTGCATATTGTGGCAGAGATACTGTAAAGGTCTTGCTAGTTCTTCTGGATGAAGAAGCTGTCAGTCCTCCTACCCAGAACAAAGCGGATCTGTTGTGCGACAATGAAAGCTTAAATTTGTGTGGCATCACATCTGTTTTGACACTCTTCAGGTGAGTATTAGGAGGTTGCTTTTGTTGTGTTACTTTGTGCTTTTTTTTTTCTTGCTTTTTTTAAAGGATCTGAGTCTAACAAAGCGCTGATGTTACTTACACAAAGCAAATAACCAACGTGCAGTCTGCTGTGAGATTAGGTGCAAAGCAAAAGCAATTTTAGAGCAGTTTTGAGTTTTCAAAAGTTTTCTAAGTCTTCATTTGTAATTTCTGTGTTTTCAAGATACTTCTATAACTTGAATTTTTTGGTATAGTACATTTCTGGGCTGGACAAACTCTATGAAGGACACTCAAAAACCCATTTCTGTGGGCACTGACAAGGAAACTCACCTATCCATACACTGAAGAAGCAGTGATGATTTATTTGGTCACTGGTCCTGAGGATTCATCAGTTGTTGGAAAAACAGGATTCTGAGAATTTGGTTACAAGGAGTATTGGTTACAAAAGAGGATTCATGAACCAGAATGATAGTGGAGAGAGTAACATGATGAAGCTATTTTGAAGCTTCGTATTTTGGCAATTAAAACAGGAGAACCAATACAAGGCTGGCAGAAATTTTGCACCATAAACAACTAGAAATAAATTAAATAAAGAACAAGTTAAACAAACCAAATTTTATTTATGAAAAATTGGATAAAATGAGCTACATAAATAATGAGTTATTGTTGAAGAACCTGTCCTCACTGATCTGCCATGACCTTAAATAGATCAGTAATTACTTACAAATGCACAGGTTAGTTCGTATTTCAAGACCAAAAAATTCCCCTTTATATGCATCATTAATTTTTTTCATTGTAGGCATCAAATGTTTTCATTGATGTAACTACATACATAATGACATGTAAGAGAGTGGAAACATCTTGTGTGAAATATGTGGAAAACTATATTGAATGTCAACCAGATGCTATTCAGGAGGGTGTAAGTAGAATGGTGGCTTAGAAGATGATCACTAGCATTACAAATAATTACTGTGTCTGCAGAGCTACAATATTGGAAACGCACTGCAAAATGAGTACCAGAAACTGGAACTGTAGGTTTGGTTTCTTTGTGCTCTCTTCAGTTGTCACAATAGATGTGGTTCCTTAGGAAGGCAGAAAATAAGGTAAAGCTTGGAGGGTAAAGCTATTTGTCTTTCTCTTTCTGAGGAACTTGGTATGGCAACAATTTTTATTAAGGAATTGATTTTACGTGTTCTAAATACTTATCTCTTTTTAATATAGATCTCCAGCACGATCCAATGGTTCTTCTCCAAAACCTCTTAGACAACGTATTCTGAAATCTATGGATGAAAAAGTAATTAAGGTACTCTGTAGGAATTGCTATGCAATTATAGAGGCATTGTAATAATAGTGATAAAAGTAACAGTGTTATATTTCAGCCAGGTATTTGAGATTTTCATCCCATAGTCAAAGAAATATAATTGTGATTTACCTGTAGTAATTGGCCCAGCTAGAGCAGTATTGTAATATGAATAGAAATATCTAAAACTTCAGAAAAGAGAGGCTTAAAACTTCAAAGTACTTCCTAATGAAAAATTTCTTGGTAAGGGTGTACTGAATTAATCTGTTTCAGGACCATAGAAATAAACCAAGCTATATGAAAACAGAGATAAACTTGAAGGCAGGCACCTGATTTTAGTTCTGATAAAACAGACATTGAAAAAGTTTTTTTTTATTTTGATGCTTTTGATTTGTACCAATCTGAGGGCATTTCTATAACATTTCTTTCTGAACAGTAAAATAAAGATGCTAATGTTTGCTTTTTGTAGATGAAATGGAAATTTACAAGAGCAGGTTGATATTGTGAGGGGTTCTATTCAAAAGAATATTTCAAAAGAATATTTCTGAAAGTTATCTTTCGGTGCACTGCATTTTACGTAGTATTTCCTTAAAACTGGCAGGCTCGATCATTGGGACTGTGGATGGAGGCAGAGCTTGTCTTCTGCATTATTTAAACAGAAAGCTAAATAAAAGTAGTGGCATAATATTTTTTACAGATTTAGTCCTGACAATATGTAAAAACACAAATCTAATTAGCGTGATAGGAAGAGGTGTTCTAAGCCATCAGAACTGGTTCTAGAACATCACAATGGAAAATAGCTTTCACTGGACATTAGATAAACTTGAACACATAGTGCATGTCTAAGAAGTAGGAAGACATCAAAATGAAAAGCACATTTTCAGCATGCATTTGAAATATTCTCCAACTTCATTCTGAGTCATTTTATGTGGATTGGGTCAATTACAAGCATTTTGGATACATGCACTAATTAGGGTGACATTTAGTTTAAAACTTCTAGGCAAATTATGAAAAATTGATACAGGATCTTCTTTATTTTATGTAAACATCATATTTAAATTGCAGCTTTACTCATCAAATAGCAAAAATGTGTCATAATATCTGCATAAAATGTTTAACATATCATTTTCTTAATGAAACTTTTGTAATTGAATGCACGAACAGTTGTGTTCAGGATCAAAGTGCAAAAATTATGTAAAAGTAATTACCTGCCACATTTGAGACATTTGCTGGTTTGACATGTTTTTGACAGAAACAAGCAAAAATTAGTCAAGTAAAATGATTGTTACCAAACAAGTAATGACTCTTATAACCAAGACTCAATTCTCTGTCACTCATTTTTGATTTCTTCCCTCTTTCATAAAATCCTACTTCTTTCTTAAGATGTTGATCTTTCATTTTATTTTTGGTTTTTTTCTCTCTACCTCTCTAAAAATTTCTACTGTTTCTTTTGCATGTTTCTACTTCTCCATATTCTTTTAAGTCTGTATCTTTCTCTTCTTTTCTCTTTCTGTACCTTGTGGCTGCATACACCTACAAACAAAACTTCAGCTATCAACAATTCACAGGTCTAGAGTGACCTAAGATGCCCTTTTGTCAAAATTGGCATCTTCTATTAATTCTACACTATCCTGTGGATGCCCAGCTCTTGATCTTGAGGTGGCAGGTCTGTCTTTCCTGATGTATTTCTATAACACTGAAGGAGGCATTGTACATGTTATATTTTCATTCCATGGCATTTCTTGAATATTTTTCTCTATCTCTGTCTACTCAAGTGTAATTTACCAGGTGTTCATTTTTAGTTTTTGATGTGTTGCTGTATGTTTTTCTTGGACTTGATACTTGCATCTTTAGCCTACACTCCTTTAATGAGATTACTGTTCTGATTGTTATCAAAGTGATTAGACACTAGATGCCATCTTAGTGTTTGTATCAGTCTGTTCCTTTAAATTGTGGTACATATAAACTACTTGTTTTAGCCTGTCTGAATCCATTGATTATTTGATTTGCTGCTTTGCTCTGTCCTTGCTTATATTCAGCCTGCAATACCAGTCTTTGTTGTTCATTTGTTAATTTTCACCTGAACCCTTTTAGCTTTTACACTATTTCTTATGGCTGAAGGGATTTCCTATAGATATCTGCAGAACTCATTATACTCCTTTCAAACCTGTAAATCAACCTCTTCTCAAATCTTAGTAGTGCTTTTTGTTGAGATAAATGCCCATTACAGTGACTAATTTCAGTTCCTTTCGCTGTGAATCCCTATATTTCTTGTCTAGGATTGTAATGTCTCTTGGTAGAAATAAATTTTTTTCTGTCCTTACCGTACAGCACATAGCACAAAGAATTCCTTGTCCATAGCTATAGATGTCAAGTGGTGTGGTAATATTTACCACCTTCTTACACTGAGTGTCAATCTCCATTATTATTCCATGCAAACATCTTGAAATGTGTACAGGTTGCTTGTAAACTTTAGTTACAAATTTTGTTACGCATAGTGCACTCATGTTACCAATTGATTCAGGAGATACCAGATACTTTGTTTTTTGAATAAGGGAGTAGCAATATTATGTTTCTTGTCAATATCTGTGCTCCTTCAGAGAAGTTTCTTTAGCCGTATGTTTGATGGTAACTTTAGTTCCAAAAGACTGCCCTAAGTGCCTTTTTACTATGCTGCCTCTGACAGGTGTTAGGTGGTTAGTCTGCAGTATAAGTTAAGGATATCTCATTAGGACTTATCCCATAAAAGATAACTTTTCCATGGTATTTGAGAAGGGAAGAAAAACATGGCAGTAGTGCTTAGTTTGGTTCTATGCTAAGTCTTTATATCTAAATGAAGAAATTTAGTAAAATTTAGAAAGAATAAAGAGAAACACCTTAATTAAAAATAAAATTTAAAAAAATAAGCAAGAGATAAAATGTTGTTGTGCCCCCTTTCCTTAAGAGGAACTGATTTCTCAACTTCTATGGAATTTCACGGAGGAGTGCAGATTGATAATATTTAGACGTGGGGCATGTCATCAGTATGTGTTTTAGTATCTAAAAATAAGGGCAGTGGATAAAATAAACAGGTAGCTATGAACTGGAATTGGTGTTCAGAAATAAAATAAGTCTTGTGGATATTTCTATTGTGCCAAAACAAATTCCTGGCAGCAGTGAATGACAAGGAAATATTTTTTCACTTTCAACCCTCATTAAATACTGGAAGTAACACAGAAATATCACCTAGCTATGTTGGCATTTGTTGGGAAGCAAAGTTGTTGCTCTTATTGCTTGATGAGAAAGAAGTCTGGGGAACAAGCATGTTGCATTGTTTCATTTCCTCTAGCAGAAGTAGGTAAGAACAAGAATATGAAACTTAGTTTTTCCTTTGGGAAAGACCCTTTCCTTTGGGTTTCTAGTTTATCTATTAAGTGAAGTGTCTTCCGGGGAGTGGTATTTTGTACGAGTCTTTAATTCAGAAAGGTCTGTGGAATGTGTATTGAATTATGTCTCTTGTCAGCTGTCCTTGTTATGTCTCTTGTCTGCTTTATTGAGGTACATAAGAAGGTTAAGTGGACAGGAGAGAGTTGTTTCACCTGAAAAGGGTTCATCCAGCCTTATATCTGCTTTTTTGAGTAATATTTCTATTTATGTGAAATGAATAGAAACCCTGTTGTTGACTAGTTGTTTTGTGGATTTCAATGGGTTATTAAAGCTCTGCTTAGTGGTGTGAGAGGGGAATGAACAGGCTGTTACAATAACCTGCTTTGTTTAGGCTGAGGAGCAACTTAGGACAAAAATGTTGCATAGTAAGATTTTCATCTTTGTTCTGCACTGCAAAATATTAAGATTTTCAAGTTGTAGGTGAAATCCTGTTCCTGAACTAATGTGACTGAATGGAACTGAGAACTTCAGAACTGAGAACTTCAGAATCAAATTTATTAAGCTGTAAGCATGCAATATATCAGCGTGTAAGAGATCTTTTTTTGTAAAGTTAAGATTGTTTTGGCCTTTTGATATATTGTTTTAGAAATCCTGCTGCATTGTTAGCAGACTTACCCCGAAACAGCTGCAAGGACTTTCAGTAGTTTGGTGCGGTTTTTTTCTTAATGTAACCGGAGACAACCTTTCCTATATGAGGCACTGTTTCCCTCCAGTTGGGAACATAGCTGCAGATCTAGTTTTAAGAAGAATTTGTGGCTTAAGAACTCTAACAAATCTTGGCATGCTTGAAGTTCATTGTAATTTTACTTTGTATAGAAATCCTTCCAAGAAAAAATCTCCACAAAGCAAAAATCCTGGTCTGCCTTTCTCATGTGACTTTTTCATGTCTCTATAAAATGACTTAATATCTAGCTTCATGCACTGCTGTTATTTTTCATAGCTTAGTTCTCTAAATGCTGTTACTTGAGAGAATTGTTTTGCCTATTTGTGATTCCAGTACAAATAAACTGTGACTTGGAAAACTATCAACAGGAAGTTATCAAGAGTTTTCTTGTATGCCCACTGTAATTGTGAACAGAAGAGCCATAGTAATAGAGAAAACAATCTTCTTCAGGTAGTGGTTTCATCTATTGTTGCAAGAAATAGTTATTTCCTAAGTGCAATATAATTATGGAGAGCACCAAAGTTGATTAGTAGTTTAGTAGAGGAGAGAAGTAAAGAGAATGAAAAGGTTATATGTTCAGAAGAAAATCTGAGGAAAGACTTGGTGTCAGTAGATAAACCACATTTGTGTAGAAAATTCCATTTTTATTTCTACATGACCCGTAAACTACTTTTAGTAGCCATAGCTGTGAATTTGGTTTGAAAGCCAATAATGAGGTGATTTGGGGTTTATGTTCTCAAAACAGTAGCAGGTTATTTTGGGACAGCAAAAGCTGGTACAATATCATGCTAAAAAAATAATTATTGTTTCAGTACAATAAAAGCTTGTTAATACCAGAGATATTCAGGATATTTTTTTAATAACATGCCTTGGTTTGGCATGTTATTATTTAGCTACTCGTCCCTTTGTACTCATGTCCCTTTTTCAACTTCCTCTTTCAACTTACCTTGAATATTTTTTTTTCTCAAAGGACAAGGGTAAGGATGGAGAAAATAACTTTTCTTTCTCTTTTTCTCTTCCAAATAGTACTCTAGTTGTTTGGCTAGAAAATAAAAACATGTGTTTGTTGTTACTGATGTAGGTTTTCAAATTCTATTATGCCATTCCAGTGCATAAAAACCAAATCTCAACATTCTTAGTGACTAAATATTGGCAGTACTGTATGCAGATGCTGGAAGGAGATCTGGAACAGATTATAATCTAACTTTTAGAAATAAATAGAGCATGCACCATTAATATTCCACATAAAAGTGGCTGTTTTATATGGGCGTCTTGAACAACTGAAACCTTTCTCTAGATACAGATGTCAAGGTGGGAGAATGTACTGCTCTATCTGCTTATTAGAACTTCTAATTCACCTACCTGTGCTGAAAGAGTTGTAAATTCTATCCTACTTTCTCCCAGCTGAAGAGTGGTAACAATGAACATTTTTTTCTGAAATGCAGCAGAACTTTTCTTTGCAGGGGGATAAGAGCAACATCCAACTTGATTGTGAAGAGAAGGAATAGTAAGGCTGAGTTCATCGTGTGCCATTTGTGTACAACTACTCAGTTAGCAAACTGATCTCCAAACATTTTTTTTCTCTCCCAGAGCTGTTGGTCATTGGAGTGGTGCTCTTAAAGCAGTTGAATTTTAGGTAATTTAATGTAAAAGAACTCTAAGGGCTTTATTCTAAGAGCTTTTTCAAGCTGTTAACAGGCTTCATTGTGTGCTTCAAGTAAATTTTAGGTTGATGTTTCTTCTTAAAAACATTTCAGTGAAGCTCTACTTTCTAATTCAGTGCTAGACTTGTGCTCCTTTGTGCTGCCTTCAAGCTGTTAAATGTGCTTTTTGTATTCCACCAATGTAATACAGTTCTGTACAGAACTGTAGTGAATATATGTTCGTAGACTAGTTGAAAAGTTTGACTGCTTCAAGAAGTTGTCTCACACCATATATACATCCTCTAGATTAGGCCTAGCATCCACAGTCTGATTTGGTAGAGCTTTGTGACCTGTTTGCAAATGCCTCACTGATATGTGATGCAATAGACATATTTCAATCTTTAGTGAAGTTGAAACACAGATGGGTTCATGTTGTGACTTTTTCAGTATTTGAGCTTGACTTCTCTCTGTTGACTCCACATATTCTATCCCTACAAACTGAATTAGTGAAGCGTCAAATTGGATTGGTAAAAAGAAACACTGTTTATAAATAACCCCTGCATTTATTGTTGGTTATAGAATGGTAACTGTCAGGCTTTCTGGCTCAAATTACATGTTCTTCATGCTGTATTTATTTTAGATTCATCAACTTTGAAAAATTGTGACTTCTTTGCCTCTTGCAATATGAATGTGATAGAAAGCCATTCAAGTTATTGTTGCAGATTTTTTGATGTGTGTCATTCAATGAACAATAATTGAGAATTGAGGAATTTGTAAAGGATTAAGATTGTTTTTCAAAAATATATCAAATACTGGAAAATATCTTCCTAATATTGTAATTGTACAATATGTTTTTCACTAAATTTAAGCTAGACAGCTGTTCTATCCTTCAAAGCACTTTCTGAAAAGAATACAGTGGCATATGCTGTCTACAGCTTCCTCACAAGGGCTAAAGGAGGTGCAGACTCTGATCTCTTCTCTCAAGTGGCCAGGAATAGGACACAAAGGAATGGCATGAAGCTTTTTGAGGGGTTTAGGTTTGATATCAGCAAAAAGATGTTCACCTGAACGTTGACTGGGCACTGGAACAGATCCCCAGGGTAATGGTCACACTACCAAGCCTGACAGAAATCAAGAAATGTTTGGACAATGCTCTCTGGCACATGGTGTGATTCTTGGGGTGTCCTGTGTAGGGCCAGGAGTTGGACTTGATGGTCCTTGTAGGTCCCTTCCAACTCAGCATATTCTATAATTCTACTTAGAGTCAGTGAGCTGAGGCATAATCTTGAAGCATACAAACCTTGTAAATATGTATGTATGTAGTCGTATTTTGTGGTGAATATTTTAAAGTACAAAGTAAATAAAAACTAGAAAGAGATTGGAGTTTTTGAAAGTCAAGTTTGTTAGTTTGCCTGTTAAATCTCCTTTTCTTTCCCAGTCTGTTATCTGGCCCAAATATATTGCAGTTTTGGAGTGATAGACATGGAGAAAACTTGGTCTTTTTGGCTCTTGAAGGAAATACTGAAGATTAAAGTAAAGCTTTAATATGTCCAGGCATATTGAACCAGAAAGAACAACTGTGTTTCTGTAAATGAATGAGGTATTTTTTGCCAAATTCTCAGTGTATTCACTTGGCCAATAGCAGTACCATGAAGAGATGTCTAGGTTGCATCTCAGTGATAAGCTTCAGTCTGTTACCCTATATGTAGGAAAGCAGGATCTCATCAAAGTGGCATCAATGTGACTGAATTTTGTGGATGAAGTCCTCTGTGAAAGGAGGTTTCTGGGAACCTTATTCTCCTTCCTTCTGTCTAAATCTGAGAATTTGAGTTAGAAAAAAATTATACCTCTAAGACTCAAATCTGATCTACAAGGTTTACTCTTGCTTGTGCTAAGAAGAAAAGTAGGCTTGCATAATGTAAACCTTGTAATCGGAGAAGTGTGTAAACCACTTATTTGACAAATCACTCCTGCTATCTATTTATGTACTAATATTTATTTTATAACAGTGCTTATTACATGTTCTTTGATTTTACTGAAGCACCTGTTCAGCTCAAATTGATTTAAATTTGCCTGTGCGGTTAGGATAGAATTATAATCTAAAAATCCAGTTGTATTGTAGTTATCTGCTACATCTTTCAATATAATTGGTATAATCCAATGCACTTTCAAATGGAAGTGAGGGCAGAATTTATCTTGCAGTACCTATAATATCTATGCTCAATTGTACAGAAAGTACAACATTTGACCCAAATCTCAGCTAATGTGAAGCTGTAAATTAAGAATAAGCTGAGGAAATGTTACCTGTGACTTGAACTAAATGGGTGTGTTTTGGCAAGTGAGGAGTCAGACACTGACATTCAGTGGTGAAATGGCTTTGTTTTGTGAATAAATATAAAATCTGAAATAGTACTTGGTATTCCCCTTCCATATAAAAATATAGATTATGAGCTGCAGAAGTATGAAAATTGACTGTTGTAGCTGTGACACCCACTCAAAACAGTGGAGTCTATCAGAAGACAGGGGTAACTTAAGACAGAAAACGTTAATTTGAAGCCCTAGGATATAATGTGAACCTTTCTGAAAGAGCTGAAAGCAATATTTTTGAATTATTTTAGTACTTTTAATAGAATAATAAATGATTATTCTTGAAAGCCCTTATGATTTGTAAATGATTATCTAATTTTCTTTTTAATGTGAGAATTTTCTGGTATTTTACATGAAAATAATTGGAAAGCTCATTATGATGCAAGTCTTGCTGGTGTTGTCTTTCAATTTGTAAATAATAGAAGCTAATAGCAGATTGGTGTTTGCAGATGAAGCAATCTTCAATTAAATCCCAGTTTGCCTGTACGTATAAAAATGATTTGAGTGAAAAGAATGGTCAGCATTCCCATGCAATTCCAACCTGCAAACATCCTGCACCAAAGCAACATTTAAAAGCTGGAAAGCCCACAGGTAAGCTATGGTAGGATTGAATAAATAAATGTGATGGGTAATACTTTAAATGCTATCCAAAAAGCCTTTAGTATACTCAAATGTTTTCAAGGGAAGGAACAAAAATATCTCATTGTTCTCAATGTCTCATATGCCTGTTAAATCTTTTTGCAATAAAATTGGAATGCCAATGCTTTGAAAATATGTTTGAAAAGTGTGTTGATGCTGTCTTCAGTGATATATGTTGCATATATGACATATTTGTTCTTATTCTACAAAAGTAAGCCAAGTGCAATTTATATTTTTGCCATTAAAAAGGGGGAAAATTTGTTTTACTGCACTACAAACTATATAATATATAAAATTTCTATGCCCTTTAACACTCTATTCCAATATCTTCAAGTTATAAATCCACTTCCCTAAGTTAGTTCTTACATGTTTTTGAGCAATGTAATTTTAAATTGGCAAGGTACTTATGAACACATAGCATATTTAATAGCAATGACCAGCATAGCTTTGTTTTATTGGTAATACATTATTTTTGATTTAAAAAAAAAAATAACATGGCACTCCTTATAGAAAAAGGATGTATGTTCCCAGGTAACTTTTTATTTCCTCACATATGTTTTTGATATTCTTACATGACAGAAGGTCCAAATTCATATCTTGATGTACCAGGGCTTGGAACTATTTCTGAAAGTGTTCACCAGACTAGAAGTTATACAGAAATGGGAAAGCTGAGTTGTCAGCCAAGGAACAAGAACTCTGAGAATGAACAGATGGATTTGAATAATGACAAAATAATCTGTGACAAGGAAAGTGAACCATCTTTGCAAAAAAATACTAAAAGACTTAAGACTTCAAACAGCTCTAAGAAGGAATTGGACAGCAAAATTGGTGGGAAAAGAAAACAGACCAAAACTGCAAGTAAGAATAAGTTGATTGCTGGTCAGTCAAAATTAACTCGCTTTTTTCAACTCTAAGTTTGTTTTCACATGCATGGTATATTGACAGTTGTAAAATTTTGCAAAAAAATGAAATTTATGAATTACTTCTTTCCATACATAAATCATTGAAAGTAGCTTGTGTATTATAGTAGACAACTACTTACAAGTCTGGATTATGCTGAAGTATTTTATTTTTGAATAACAGTACATTGTTAATAATTACACTGTTATTTTGGGTAATGAATTATGTATCCCTCTACAATGCAATGGGAAACTATTTTTGGATATGTATGTACAGTTGCACTAACACTTAGTAACTTCAAATGTCATTAAATTCAAAATAAAATGTTTAATCTTCAGAGAAGGTGGTGGAGATGAGTGGTTTTCACACTTGCCAACAAGGTCGATAGACTCTTCCCAGCATACACCTGAGGACTACAGGAAAAAAAAGGAGCTTGGAAGTTTAAGTCATCAAAGAATCAGATTTCTTATGGCTTCTGGAAATATTAATTTAAGAAATGTTCCCTCCCCCATACACCAAATCATAACAGTCATGGAAGTCTCTAAATGAGCCTTTAGCAAATTGCTATATTGATATTGCAGTGTACTTTTACCAGAATGAAATAATTTTTCATGCAAAAATAAAACATATTTACTGTCAAAATCTCTTCTTCCTATAGGGAGTTTAGATGAGTTTTCTTCATCTGTAGTCTCTCTTTCTTCTATTGACTCAATATTTTGAAATTCAGTGTCAGCTGGAAAAGCCATGGCTCCCTTCAGTGCAGGATAAGGTAGTTGCTTTCTACCTAAGTTGATTGGCTTAACATGACTGAAGAAATCATGTCTGGAACCTCTGTCCTGTTTTGAGGGCAGACAAGAAGTTTATTTAAAGCCAGTTGTATCACATTTTGTTCTTTATACTTTAACAGTGCAGTTACTTTTTATGTTTCAAAATCATACATTAATAGTAATGACCTGTATTACATCTTTGGCCAAAATGGTTTAATTGACATAATTAAATAATGAGTCTTGTGTTTGGCAATGTTAGAAACCTGTTGCTGCATACAGGGACAGCATCAAATATAAATATAAGTTTCTTCTTACCCCTCCCCCCCACTCTCATCCTTCAAGTTTTGGCTACTATTTGTGAAAATCAGATTTAATTAAGCTCTACAAGTTACACATTTAGAATCTTGGCATTAGCTATATAGAGTTGAATTTTTTTTCTTGACTATGTTATGTTAAACTGATATTTTTATATATTTACCTGATTATTGCTTTAAATTGTTGTACTTGTTTTCTAAAGGGGTATACATTAATTTCAATTTTACAATTAAGCCAAAATTTAAAACTGAACTCACCAAAACCTTCATGTTTCCAGCATTCTTATCATTGAAAACGCTGCTGTCTTCAGTTTTGTAATGCTTCAGCAAAGGTATAGCTCCCCTACTCGTACTTTTGTCTCCATTTTGTAGAATTTTTCCTAGATTTAATGCAGCTAGCAACATATCTTCATCTTCTGCTTCTTGCAGAGACCTTGAGAGTAGAAAACCTTGAGAAAAAAGAGAGAGAAGGGAGAGAAATAGAATATATGATGAGATGCACATTTTTTAATTATTTAACTCTTGCATAGAGGTTTGGCACTTCTTAAATTCTAAGAAAGCTTTTCCAGTGGTAAATAATTATGTTTTCCATTTCTGGAATGGCACACTTTATATATTTTACAGGTTGAATGGAAACTACTTCAGTGGCTGATGAGTTCATGCTTTTAAAATGACTCATTTTAAGGAGTAACCTTTTCCATAATCCTTCTAATCCCACCTGTTTAGAAGTAAAATATTTCTTTGTCATACCTAATTTGTTTCTTTGTGTGTTTTTAGAACAGATTAGTTCCTTTTGGTGGATCAGTACAACAAAGTTCACAGAAAAATTGATGTCCATTTGTGTTGTTTATAAAGCCTTACCTCTGGTTAAGGCAATTTAAGAAGAGGAATTAATCTACATAAGTAAGCAGGACTGTTGTAAAGCTGTGATGCATCATAGTTTTGATTGAAACTGGATTCACTAAAGAGCTGAAATTCCGGAAATGTGATGATAGCTTAGACTGCTACTGTGTTAAAGCTAAAATAATTAATGTGTATTTTGATGTCTATTATGTCAGGTTGCATTATACAGAGCTAATGGCTAGAAATATTTATTTGTACCTAATTAACTATGTTTGTATTTTCTTACTGAAAGTGGACCTTTCTCTGCTACAAATATAACATAGTCAAATATGCTTGCTAAGAATGTAGAAAGAAAAGTAAACTCCAGTTTTTCATTTAAAATGCCTTTGAAATGTATCTGCTACCCTGTGGAAGGAAATGTAGAAGTTTCTGCATACTGTTGTCTTGTTACTGTTTGATGGGGCTGTGTTTTTTGTTGTTGTTGTTGGCTGTTTTTGTTTGGTTTGGGGTTTTCTGCTTTAACTGGGAAGTGAATAGTGCCAGCTGAGACTGAGGTAATCTCTTAATGTCAGTGATAGAAACCACACATTCATTGACTGTGTGCCTCTTAGCTAGTACTTCAGGTTTTATTCTTTAGCTTAGTGCTGGGAACCATGCTGCTATTCAAGGCAAAGCACTAGGAAATTGGCCACTGTTCCATGCTAAACTTCCTGGAAAAGCACCTGCCTTGCCAAAGCAACTTCTTGGTAAGGTATTTCATGGGAAACTACCATGCTGGACTGAGCAGTTTTTTTGACTAAGAGACATTTTTGGTGTACCATCTTTTCTCCAAATGAGAAAAGTGCATTTAATCCTTTCTGGGCGAAACATCTCTCTCAAACAGAATTGTTGCTTTTCATAGTTTTCATTTCCTTGCTCCTAGAGCCTGTACTTGTCTTTGGGTAATTGAAGTGCTTTTTTTTTGTTTTGCTTTTTTTTTTTTTTTTTTCTTTAAGTATCTGGCCACAGAGGAGACAAATTTGAGAGTTAATTGTACATTGTTTAATACTCATTCAATCTGTTTGCTAATTTTTGCCTCACATTAAATATTTCTACAGTTTTGCTCAATTAATAAAGCAAAAGCCATGTATGCTCTCTTGCAGGTACTTTTCATTTAGCTCAGCCTTGACAGAACAAGAGGAGTGCTTTGGAGCTGTGTTGGCAGCAAGCTGTTCTTTTTCATATGTTGGTCTATCCTTAAGAGTTGGAAAACAAGCTATCAACCCAGTAATTGTGGAGGTGACAGGAGCTTCTCTGAAGCTCTGGCACCCACAGGTGTGCAGCATCTCACATGGGGCTCACTTTCAAATGCTTCTGTCATGTAATACAAAGCACAGCTCCAATGAGTACAACTGACCTGGATCATTCAGAAAGTCCATCTACAGCATCTGGCTGGTTTTCTGCTATGGGACACAAGCTGATGTCTGTGAAAGAATGTGAAGTCAGGGCAAATTTATGGTACTTGCCCCAGGATCTTCTACTGCTTCTTGAAGTAGTTGTTAATTTTTAAGGATTGTTGAAGCTCCAAGGTGATTCTAGTGATAATGAGTATAAACTTCTAACTGGGCTGCCAAGAAATGCAGACCACATGTCTGTAAATTCAGTGACTTACCAACTGCTCTGAACAGGCAGAAAACATTTGTACACCTGCAGATATGCTATGTGTGTGTTGTGTACAGCTCTTCATAATGCCTTGGGGAATACTAGCACACTGATGTCTACGCTTTTATTTCTTCCTCCGGCAATTTTCAATTTTAGTAAAAATGTAAAATGTTTTAATACATCAGCTTCTATGTTTTATTTGGACTTTTTTTTTTAATTTTTAACTAGTATTATTAACCCAGTAATGCTTTCAGAACAATAACAATTACTTTGAGAAATTCTTCTTGCTTCCACATTGCATCTAGTCACAACAAAATATGAACTCTTAACATCAGACATCTCATGTAGTATATGTAAGTAAACAAAATCTAGGTGATAGCATGCCTGGACTTGTTTGAATTCTTCTAGGAATGTGTTACAAAACAATTGCAATAGTTTCATTTGGTCTTGTAACTACTATAATTACTGTGTACATGTGCTTGAACCTAATTCCTAGTATTGACTGAAGACTAAATGAAGCAGGTATGTATTGTATAAAGTCAGTTATTTGCTATTATCAGAATTGAAAAACTTCACAATGCAAGAGAAACTATTTCAGCAACCTTAATAAATCATTTTAGTCAATCTTAAAATAGTGCAATACCAATTGGTCAATGTTGATTTGGCCAGTGGCTTACTACTTCTGATTTTAAAGGTGGTTGGGTTTTGTTTTGTTTGTTTTATTTTTAGTTTGGATCTTGTACATTTTATACAAATAGCTGTATTTTAGTCTGATTTGTGGAAATACTAATCCCTTCTTGTGTATTGTTCTGCCTAAATACCTCGGTATTTTAGTTCTAAGCCCTTCCAACCAAACCTAACAAGCAGGTGTTAAAGTGGAGATTCTCTGTGCTAAAAATGGAAAGAGTGTATCAGCAGTTCACAGGGCAGATAAGAGGTAATTATTAGACTTCATTATTGACTGTAGGAAATTAAGACTCTTGCCTAGCACTGTTTTGTTGTTCCTCCTGCTGAATTAGTAGTTACCTGGAATCAGTAAATTGATTTAGCATTGAAATATTATATTGAAATAGGCACAATGCTGCATATAAGAGATCAGCTCTGGACTTGTGCAGGAGCACAGCTCTAAATATTTGGAGAACCTAAAAGTCATCTTTATGAATGTGTCAGGAGAATGTACAAGAAAAGGGTGGTGGTGAAATGCCACAAACTAAATGATTTTTACCAAATTCCTGCCCAAGATCCAGGGTATCTATTTCAGTCCTCTGCTGAGTTATAGTCTGTGTATTTATAGAATGAAATGTTACATTTGTGTTACAAATTAATTTCACAGTTGGGAAGATATAAAAGTATTTTCTGCTGTTTGTTTTGAAAGGCATTTCAGAATTTCATTTGAAGCAAGTACATAAAAATGTGAATATTTCTTAAGGAACTCTGCAGCAGTTGAAGAGAACAATTTATGCATAGTTTCTTCTAGCAAAGTTAGTGATAAGCATACTGGTCACTGCGTCTGTCCCTTTTTATAATTATTTCTATTATATAAAATGGTCTGTTCTTGTATGAAAGATTTGCTAATACACTGTGTTTAGAATTAAGCAATTCACTATTTAAAAACAAATTAACCCCCCTGAAATATATCTCCTCTCCCCCCCAACAACTAAGTTTCTTCTTCTGAAGGACCTTTTGCAAAGCAGTCTATATGTAAGTCTATTAAGGATGCCAAATTAATAAATGAAGTGGAAAGTGGAAAAGAGAGAGATTGCTCAAGCCATAGTAGGCTCTTAATTAAGAAAAAAACCAGTGGTGATAGTGAAATATTCTGTTTTCATGTAAAAATCTGCATTTCTGAGAGAAATGCCTGTGGACAAAGCACACTCAATTATTTTGTAACCAACCATCAGCAGGAACTTCCTTATGAGAACAATAAGGAGGATAAAAAAGACTGGGCCCTGTTACTTTGCAGGCAGATGAGAGGATTTCAGCCAAGAAAAAAATACAGAAAAAAGCAAGATGTGCAACTGCAATTTTGAGCTTCATTTGAGCACAGGATGTCTGTGAGAGGCTTTGGAGCTGGCTATCCATTGCAAACCTGCTAAAATTCCTGTGTTTTCTATTCTTCACCATAACTGTTCATATGGTTTTGATAGTGCTGAGGGAGTAATTTATTTTGCATAACTAACATGAAGGGAGGAATACTTTTTTTAGCAATGTTGACTCTTGAAAGCTCTTTACCAATGGTGCAGGAACCGTTGGTGGATTAAGACCCCTAAAGGGCAGTGAATGCTCTTGTTGGTACACAGTGATGGTAAGACTGACCACAGCTGGTGTTTGAGAGGAGCAGAGCAGCAGTTCTTCTCTTTGCTATTATATGAAAGTGGTCTAGGTAAGGTAAACGAATGTTATTGTCAATATTGTTCATATTATCTATGGATCTTATTGATGATGTAGTTGTGTCCTACACATGTCAGTCCAGGTTCTCTTACTGAGCTGGATTCTCTAAGTCAGTTTGCATGATAAGATGCAGCTCTTGTGTAGACAGAAGAATGAATCCAATTCATTCTTCTGCTCAATTTCTTTTTAGCAGAGCAATTGTTTGGTAAATTGGCACTTCATCAAAATACAAATAATTTACTGTTGGTCACCTGAGGTTTTTTACAAAAAAGTAAATGTTTATTTAGGTTTTTTTGCTTGGTTGGTTTTTTTGTTTCTTTTTACATTTCAGTCTCTTTTAACACAATTCCATTTTCATCTGAATTGTTTCTACTGATGTTTTTTTTCCTATGACAGAGTATAAGCCTCAGTTGTTTGGAATCTTGGTAGTTATGGAACAATAATGCTGCATTATGAGTCCATGAAATATTTTTACACTGTTTTGAATGTCAGGTACATTTTTGAGATATGCTATTTTGTAAGATATTCCTTAAATAAACACAGAAGTCAGAGGTGTTTACACACAGAAATGTTCTAGTATAATTTTCACATGATAAGCTGAGCCACATACCTCAGGTGTTGGTCTGGTCTGGGTTTTTCCTCGTGAATTCTGGAAAAAGAATCAGTTATCTTTTAATTCTGTTATTGTGAAATAAAATTTAAAACCTACAAAGATCCACCAGGTATTCTCTCTCTGGTTTGCCGTTCCAGTCTGTGATTTTGGCTGTTCTACTCTTTACTCTATCAACAAGGGGTTGGAACCATATAATCTTTGAGGCCCTTTCCAGACCAAACCA